GCGGGAAGCGAAACTCGTGTTACTTCGGGAAGTCGGATAAAACGACGGCGAGGAAAACGAAGATGGAAAAGAGGATAGAACGTCGAGGAGGAAAACGAAGATGGAAGAGAGGACAGAATAACGAGGAGAAAAACGAAGATTGAAAAGATGGAAGAGAGGACAGAACGACGAGGAGGAAAACCAAAATCGAGAAAAAGGAAAAGTAGGAAAAGAGAGTGATGTTGAGGAGGAGGTGGACTAAAATAGGAAAGAAAACCGGTGAGACATAATAGGATAAGATAAGGATGGAGAGCAAGGGAGGAGGAGGAGAAGGAAGAGAAGGAGAATATAAAATGAACCTGCGAGGAAGAGGGAAAAAAACAAAATGAAGATATGAAAAAAGTTAAAGTATTAGGATAACATGGCGATGATGATGATGATGAGGAGGAGGAGGACAAAAATGGGGATCGAAAATGGTGTGAGGCATTAGGATAAGATGAGAAGGGAGAAGGAAGAGAAGAAGAACGAGAATAGAGAAGAAAAAGAAGGAAAGAGTAAAATGGAAAAGATGAGGATTATTAGGAAAAGATGGCGATGAAAATAAGGAGGACTAAAATAAGGAAGAAAAATAGTAAGAAGTATTAGGATCAGCTGAGGAGAGAGGACAAGGTGGAGAAGGAGAACGAGAACGAGAATAGAAAAGAAGAAAGTGAGAAATATAGGAGAAATGGCGAAGATAAGGAGGAGAAATTGGGGAAGAAAAATGGTGAGAGGTAAGATAAAGAAAGGATAGGATAAAGAGAGAAGATAAGGAAGTGGAGGAGGAAGAAACTAAAATGGGAAAGACAAGGAAAAGATGAGGAGTATTAGGAAAAGATGACGACGATAATGATGAAGATGAGGAGTAAAACAGGATAATAAAATTGGTGAGACCTATTAAGATAAGATGAAAAGGAAGAAGGAGAACGAAAAGAAGGGAGAAAAAAGAAAAGGAAGAGATGAGGATGAGGATGAGGAGAAACAAAAAATGTGAAAGAGAAGTCTTGAGAGGTATTAAGATAAGATGAGGAGGAAGGAGAAGGAGGTGGAAGAAAACGAAAATAGAAAAAAAAATATTGAGAAGTATTAGGAAACGAAAAAGGAAAACGATAAAGAGGTAATAAAATAAGAAATAGAGGAAGGGCAAAAAGGGGGTGGAGGATGAAAATGAAGAAGATAAAACGATAATAGAAAAGAAAAAGGGATAAGTATTAGGAAAAGACGGCGATGACGAGGAGAAGAACAAAATCAAAAGAAAAATAATGAAAAACATTAGGATCAAATCAGGAAGAAGGGAGAGAAGGAGAAGGACAGGGAGAATGAAAATAGAGAAGGAAAAGTGAGAATTATTGGGAACAGAAGATGATGATGGGGAGGAGAAAAAAAAAAATGAAAGAAAAATAATGAGAGACATTAGAATAAAAGAAGGAATAAGGACAAGGAAGAGAAGGGGGAGAACGGAAATGGAGAAAAGACTATAAGCAAAAACTAAGGGTGATGATGATGATGATGAGGAGGAGGATAACGAAATAGATAAATAAATAAATAAATAAAAGAAGGCAAAAAAAAGCATAAGGAAAATATGATGATTATGGGACGGATGAGGATAAAAACCAAAATCAAGGAAATGACAGAATGAGAAGAGAGAAGTAATAAGTGAAGATGAGGAGAAGGAAGAATGGGATAACGAGGAAGAGGGGGCGATATTGGTGATGCGAGAAATATGAGAGTACCATAGCTCTTATGGGAAAGAGAGTAAGGGAAGGGAAGTGAGATGGAGAGAGAGATAAAGGATAAGAAGGGTCCAGAGGGAGGGGTAAGGAGGGTGGGAGGGTGAGCTGTGTCCTAAGGGAGAGAGAGGGGGGAGGAGGGGAGGGAGGGATGGTGAGGGAGAAGAAAGAGGGAGAGGGAAAATGAGAGAGAGAGAGAGAGAGAGAGAGAGAGAGAGAGAGAGAGAGACACACACACACACACACACACACACACACACAGAGAGAGAGAGAGAGAGAGAGAGAGAGAGAGAGAGAGAGAGAGAGAGAGAGAGAGAGAGAGAGAGAGAGAGAGGAGAGAGAGAGAGAGAGGAGAGAGAGAGAGAGAGAGAGAGAGAGAGAGAGAGAGAGAGAGAGAGAGAGAGAGAGAGAGAGAGAGAGAGAGAGAGAGAGAGAGAGAGAGAGAGAGAGAGAGAGAGAGAGAGAGAGAGAGAGAGAGAGAGAGAGAGAGAGAGAGAGAGAGAGAGAGAGAAGAGAGAGAGAGAGAGAGAGAGAGAGAGAGAGAGAGAGAGAGAGAGAGAGAGAGAGAGAGAGAGAGAGAGAGAGCAAGAAGGAAACTACAATTTTATAAAAAGAAGGATGAAAGGGACAAGATAGAACGAAAAGGAAAAGGGGGAGGGAGTGAAAGACCTCTGATGAAAGTGGGCAAAGAGATGATGGAGAGTGGATGTTATCTCTCAAGTGGGTGGAGATGGATGAAGAAAAGTCCGTCCCTGTGGAGTGGATAGAGATGGATGTGGCACAAAAATAGTTGTGTGTCCTTTCATTTTGTCTTCGGATTGGGTGGATGAGCGTGAAGGAAGTAATAATTAGACTTAATATTAACGAGAAAAAATGCATCAATTTAAAAGCATTATCATCTTTATCAAAAAAGGACAAATGTATACGTATTCTAAAAGATAAAACACGACAACAACAACAACATCAATATTCTAAGAGATAAAACACGACAACAACAACAACATCAATATTCTAAGATATAAAATACGACAACAACAACAACAAAAGCAACAAATATTCTACACATCCTTACAGGAGCAAAGAATGAAGAATTTGTCGCCAGGTAAGCAAAATTTTGTCTTTCCGAGGACGAAACAAAAAAAAGGTGGAAAGTTGTGTTCAAAGGAGAGCTGAAACGGGAAAGTTGTCAGAGTAAAATGTAGTCTGATGGAAGTCCTGTCCATGCTGATGCTTATTATCGGCATTCTATTCCCATTCTTATTATTCTTTCTTCTTATTCTCATTCTATATCTTATTCATTCTGTTCTCATAATCATTCTTACTCTTTTTGTTCTCATTGTTATGGCTATTCCCTTTTATTCTTATTCTTAATCGTTCTTTTCTCATGGTTATTTTTACTCTTTTATCCTCATTCTTTTTTCTATTTTTTATTCTCATTCTTATTCCTCTTATTCTCAGATTATTCCTATTCTCTTTTATTCTCTTTTTAAATCTTAATCGTTCTATTCTCTTGATTATTCTTACTCTTTTTATTCTCATTGTTATTTCTATTATTTTTCATTCTCATTCTTATTGTTATTCTTTTTGTTTTCATTCTTATGCCTATTTTTTATTCTCTTTCTCATTCATATTCTTTTCATTCTTATTCATTTTATCCTCAATCTTATTCTTATTCATATGATTGTCATTACTATCAATGTCATTGTTATTTCTGTTAGCATCATTTTCTTTTCTTATCATTACCATTTCATTACTACCATTGTTGTTATTATTACTATTATCATTATTATCGTGATCATTATCATCATTATTATCATGTTGTTATCATTTTCACTACTACTATCATCATCATTACTATTATCATCATCATCAATATTATCATTATTATCATCGTTATCACTATTATGACTACTATTATTATTATCATTGTCATTATCATTATTATTATTATTACTATTATTATCATTATTATTACTATTACTATTACTATTACTACTATTACTGTTATCATCATCATCATCATCATATTATTATTATTATTATCATTATTATTATTACTATCATTATTATATTACGTAATTACTATTATCATTATTATCATTATAGTATTATTATCAATATCATTATTACTAATGTAAGTATAGGCGAAATTATCATGACAAACAATTCTTTAATAAATCTATTTCATTGTCATAACATCTATCGTCTTTTTATTCCTACACACATTAATCTCTCTCTCTCTCTCTCTCTCCACACACACACACACACAAACAAGCAAACAAACACACAGACCTAAACACACAAACACGCACACTCACAGACACACACACACACCATCCATTCTCCAACACACCATAGCAACCATACATCCACCACACACACAACCCCCCACTAGCCCCCAGGGCTCCATACCCCAACTCCCTCCCCACCCCCACCCCTTTCCAGAGACATCCTCCCCTCCCCCTCCCTACCCAGAGACACCTCTCCCCCTCCTCCCCCCTACCCCCATTCTAAGCGAACAATCCGGGCTGAGTGCCAGGGAAGGGGGGTGCTTAAGGGGGGTGCCATGGTTAGGCACACCAGATCAATATGAGGGAAAACAATTATCGATCACTGACCAGTAGTACCCCATGAGACCAGCTCGTCGCACGTGGCACTTTGAGCACCTCTTAGCTCTGCCTGTCTGTCTGATTTCTCTCTCTCTCTCTCTCTCTCTCTCTCTCTTCGTCTCTCTCTCTCTCCTCTCTCTCTCTCTCTCTCTCCTCTCTCTCTCCTCTCTCTCTCTCTCTCTTCTCATTTCATCTCTCTTTTTCACTCTCTCTCTCTGCTCTCTTTATCTATCTATCCTAGCTATATATATGTATATATATAATATATAATATATATATATATATATAACTAATACGTACTATATATATGTACTATATATATACATATATATATATGTACGTCTCCCTATATATATATGCTGTAGTAGCACTGGTAGTTTTGGTGGTATTGATATTACTCTTAGTAACGTGATCATCATCACCATTGATATTATCATCACAATGTTATTATTATGATAATTATTGCCATCATTAATATCATTATCTCATTATCATTATTATCACCTCTGCCACTAGTAATCACCATTTTTTTATGCTTGAGGTGTGACTTCGCCAAACTTATATGCCCTTAAATTTTGGACCGGGTCAGAATCCGGATTTTTATTTTATTTATTTATTCATTTATTTTTTTTAAAGAATTCAT